TTGATTTCGGCCTTTTAACATTAGCCCTATGGGCGTTGCATGGAAAGAATGGGATCAAAAGTCGGCAGTGCCCCCCCCCCCCCCTTAATTGAAGGTGTTCCTTGAACGTTCATTGTGACAATTATGACTAGATAAGTGAAACTTTTTTAACCCTATTAGTGGCAGGCTCCTGGCTACCCCATATTAGTGGCAGGGGGGGGGGCTGTTTACGACCCCCCCTTGATATCTCGAGATCTAACCGGCCGATTTTCAAAATTCAAACGGCATTCGATTTGGCTCAACGAGATCTACATTTCTAAAAAAAAATATTAAAATGTCAATAGGGGGGTAGAGGGGGGTAAAAACGGGCAAATTGGCAATTGCAGATACATTTTAGACTGTTTATCACGGCCAGGTTTCTGAACCAATCTTAACGCAACTTTTGCCGATCGATATAGAATGAACCAGGAATTCACATGGATCCTAAAAATATGCATTTTCAAAAATCATAGGCGGATACAGGTCATTGAGATTGGGGGTACACAAAAAGTATAGTAAATAAGGTTTTTGTTGGTCCTGTTTCTAAAAAGGGTGGCAATGGTCTTGTTATGTTACAATTTTCTTATGAGAGAACGACTAAAATTGTATTGGTCATGCATAGGCGGTGTCAGGGCACCTATGTTGGGAGGTAAAAAATAACCCCCCTTTTTGGACGCCTGGATCCGCCTATTATAGCAAAAACGTGTCAAAAGAGGATGCACAATAACTTCGTATATGTTATCACATGATACCTTTCATTCACTGTTCGTAAAACTGGTGCAGCATCGTGATCTTCGCCCAAATGACTCGCTTCACGAATAGGACCCCCAATTCCCAGTGCTCTGGAGCCGCCCCTGGTAAAGGTATGAACTTGAAATTTTCAGGGAATGTGCCCAATTTAGTTTTAGGAAAAGTCAGAAAATTTCAGCATCGTAGCTTCAGCGGTTTCGGAGATATTCCCGAAAAACCTGAGGGGTGGATAAAAACAACCCCCCCCCCCCCCTGCCACTAATAGGGTTAAATATAAAGGTACTGTATTATAGAAAGCCTTCGCAAACGCGTTTCGATTATATCATCTTCAGTGCTAGCTTCCCATAATACAAAAAGAAAATGGTACAAAAGTTCACAACACATCGCAAATACACACGCTGCAATTTTTTTCTCTCACAATATCACGGGTAGAATGTTTTTATATACTTCTGGAATGCAAGACCGCAAATCGCCCCTCCTAAGGTGTAAAAGCCCCCCTTATGGTTCGTACATGGCACACTTTGAATAAATGCCGACTCAAGAATTTTTCTGTGCGATCTCTTCAGACCTGATTTCACCGCACTGGCTTTATCCCACTTAGGTAGGTGACCCTCTGTTTCGGCATGTAACGTAATTGAGTTAGACAAATTATGATTTATCAAATCACGCTTGTGTTCAGTTACTCTGGTTTTAAGCCCTCTGTAAGTTTCACCGATATATACTTTTGGGCAGCCCCCACAAGGAATTTGGTAGACTACGCTGTTCGCCCTTCGCTGTCCTTCAGTTCCTCCCTTAATCATGTCACCTATTTTTGTTCCAGATTTTTCTATCAGCCTAACACCTGCTTGATTTAACCCTTTTGCTAAGCATTGCACTTGTTCAGAGTGTGGCACAACAATGACTCGTTTGCTTTTCTGTTGTCTTTCTTCATTTTGGTTCCTTGTATTTGCTTGTTCTTTCTTCTTTCTTATGCGTTATCTTAGCTTAAGTGACGCTCACTTAAGGAATTCAGGGGACCTCATTGAGCGGTTAAAACAAACGCAATTTAACGGGAAAAAACTAGCGAGCTTTGACGTCAAGGCGCTATTTACAAACGTCCCTATCGACGGCGCTATAAAGGCGATTGAAAAAGCGCTGAACGGCCTAACTGAAGATTCATTACCATTACCAAAAGAGGATTATCTGTCTTTAGTAAAGCTCTGCCTCAACTTTCATCCGTTCATCTTCAACAAAGAAGAATATGCACAAAACGAGGGGCTTGCCATGGGCTCACCTCTCAGCGCAGTTGCTGCGTGCCTATTTATGGAAATGTTAGAGGAGGAGGAATTCAGCAAGGTGATGGGAAATGATGCAAAATGGTATCGTTATGTGGATGACATTTTGGTCATTGCGCCAGAGGAAATGGATCTAAACGTGAAGCTACAAGAGCTGAATCAAGTATATGGGAGCATTCAATTTACACTAGAAGAAGAAAGAGACCAAACACTTAACTTCTTAGACGTTAAGATTATCAGGGAAGATGTTAGTGTAAAGTTTGCGGTCTATAGAAAGCCAACAAGTAAGGAGGATTATATTCATTTTTATTCTGCACATAGCATGAGAACAAAGTCAGGGGTCGTCATTGGCTTTTTCCTGCGCGCATACCGTATTTGCAGCGAAGAGTACATCGCAGATGAGATCAAACACATTTTCGAGGTATTTGAACGGCTCAAATACCCAAGAGCTTTTCTCATTAGATGCAAGAACAGTGCCAAACGCATAAGAAAGAAGAAAGAACAAGCAAATACAAGGAACCAAAATGAAGAAAGACAACAGAAAAGCAAACGAGTCATTGTTGTGCCACACTCTGAACAAGTGCAATGCTTAGCAAAAGGGTTAAATCAAGCAGGTGTTAGGCTGATAGAAAAATCTGGAACAAAAATAGGTGACATGATTAAGGGAGGAACTGAAGGACAGCGAAGGGCGAACAGCGTAGTCTACCAAATTCCTTGTGGGGGCTGCCCAAAAGTATATATCGGTGAAACTTACAGAGGGCTTAAAACCAGAGTAACTGAACACAAGCGTGATTTGATAAATCATAATTTGTCTAACTCAATTACGTTACATGCCGAAACAGAGGGTCACCTACCTAAGTGGGATAAAGCCAGTGCGGTGAAATCAGGTCTGAAGAGATCGCACAGAAAAATTCTTGAGTCGGCATTAATTCAAAGTGTGCCATGTACGAACCATAAGGGGGGCTTTTACACCTTAGGAGGGGCGATTTGCGGTCTTGCATTCCAGAAGTATATAAAAACATTCTACCCGTGATATTGTGAGAGAAAAAATTGCAGCGTGTGTATTTGCGATGTGTTGTGAACTTTTGTACCATTTTCTTTTTGTATTATGGGAAGCTAGCACTGAAGATGATATAATCGAAACGCGTTTGCGAAGGCTTTCTATAATACAGTACCTTTATATTTAAAAAAGTTTCACTTATCTAGTCATGAAGGTGTTCCGTCGCTACTGTGAAAAAGGAGAAGAAAAGAGAGAGAGGAAGCGGAGAGAGAGCTGGAGATACATTGATAGAGAGAGGGAGAGAGAGACAGGGAGAGAGAGAGAGAGAGAGAGAGAGAGAGAGAGAGAGAGAGAGAGAGAGAGAGAGAGAGAGAGAGAGAGAGAGACATTGGTTGTTGTAGTTAAGCTGTTTGCAGTGAAATTCAACATTGCTCGACAAAGGACTCAGCAGAGCAAAGGCTGTGTAAGGTAAAAATCCGTGTAAAGAAAAAGTACGATAGCCCTTACACCATAACTGCGGAAATTGCATCAAGGGAAAGAAAGGGACGTATTTTAAAAATATTTTTGGGTTTATGCTGAGTGAAATGGTTGAGGTTGACCATGATCGACCTGGATGACAGGCTTTTTAGGACCACCCTTCTCCTGTTGAAGGTTTCGTTTCCAATGAAATGTGCTAGGCAATATTCCGTCACATTTCGGGCATCACAGATCAAAAACATGTCCTCACTGATCCAGAGAGTCGTTACCCACCATGCAGTTATATTTGGCTCGACCTGTCATAAGGTTGAACCAATCACCGTAAACTGCAGCAGCCGAGTTCTAGCGTAGCTGAAAAGGTCCCCTTATATAATTTTTATTGTTGATTAGGCATGAATTATTGCGCAGGGCGCCGTTTTATTCGTGCCTCTTCGGTTCGTGACGCTGACTGTTTATGAGAAATCAATACTGACATGACGGAACTCTGTGCAGGAACAGGCATGCTTTCGTGTAAGGAAAAATATTTTTAAAGAGCATGCCTTAGAGTGATGGCATTCTTAGAGCTCGTCGATTAAACTTACCACAGAATTGGAAAAAGATGATGCGATAAGTGACCCGTGACCGATTGCATATCTAATCAGCATCTCAACCAGCAATATAGGTATTCAACATTGAATGCGGTTGGACATTCCAATATTTCGCCTTCAGATCGACTCTCTCTCCTCTCTCTCTCTCTCTCTCTCTCTCTCTCTCTCTCTCTCTCTCTCTCTCTCTCTCTCTCTCTCTCTCTTCTCTCTCTCTCTCTCTCTCTCTCTCTCTCTCTCTCTCTCTCTCTCTCTCTCTCTCTCTCTCTCTCTCTCTCTCCTGATTTTCATTTATCTTTTGTTGAACTTGCCTCTCTCTTTCTCCACTCACTCTAACCCTTTCCCATTTCTCCCACATACCTATCCGTGGACCTCATCCAAAACCCTACCGTGCTCCGTCACGCTCTTGGCATTCCCCACTGCCCCACTCAAATGGAATCAAATCTCCGCATCCACTTCATTTCTCCGGCCGTCTATTCCCCCGGCACCGGGCTGTCGGCCGACGGGGCCCGGCTGAGCCGCTCCCAGACCGAAATTTAAGCCGTTCCAGGATCGCCAGAACACCACGCCCCTGTCGTGACCGAATTAAGCCCCTCACCAAACACCGGGCAGACGCCGGGAATCGCCGTGACGGCGGCAACGCCCGCGCGACGACGCGTCGTCGGTCCCGAGAGGTCGCCGTCGGTCTCGACGAGAATCTCAATTTGTCTTTGTGGAGCGGCTGCAGAGCGGCGGGGTCCGCGCTGTCTGCCGATCGGCCTGCAGTCGGGCACACGGCGCCCGCCGGGCTCCCGTGCGGCGGTCGGTCCGTGCCGGCCGCCTCCTGGACGCCCCATTCGTCGGGCGCGAGGAGGGCACGCCGACGTCGGGCAGCCAATCGCAGCGCGCGGCGGCGGCGGCGACGGCGGCGGGTCAGGAGCGCTCCGCCGGGGCGGCAGTCAGATGAGCGTTCCCCCCTGTCCGACTTAGGCCGTGCCCGGTGACGATGACGGCCAGCCTCTCCACCAGCCTTGTGGCGCCGCTGCTGATGCTGCTAGTCTCAGGTGAGTCGCAGTGTCACGACTGAAAACACCTGCCAGGCAAGGCTAGCGCTCATCTCATTGTGCATATCGTTGGTATAATTTTCACAAACTAAAAACTTGACCTACAAAAGCGATTCCATCTCCCGCCAGCATTTTCCCAGCTCCGCGTTTCGTCCCAGCAGCTTGTCTGAGCTCCGTTTCCCACGCATCCGTCATCTCTCCCACGCTATCACACCGACGAAGGTCGTGCGTCGCCCCGGCCGAGGGTGCGGCGGGAGCGACGCAACAGGCGTGCCGGCCGGGCCGACGGACGAGCGAGAGCGCCGCGACCCTCTCTGCCCTCGAGCTGTGGCGACGCTGATCGGCGGGGGCGCCGGGCCTGAGACGGCCGCAGCTGGCGCAGCAGTGTCGGACCGGCGACCCCAGAAAAGGCGGCTTTGTGGTACCACTGTGCTGGGTACAACAACTGTAGCTATAATAGTCAAATGTATTCGGCACGACTAAAATCACAATATTGTTTAGTTGTAGGCTGGCGCTAAATATTAAGTTTTTGGGAGCGATGGCCGATGGCGATGAACTTTTTAATTCAAATGCTGATAATCAAATGTAGCCTTTATGTATGATGATGCAAATATTTTTGGTAATTTTAAATCTGACGCTTAAAGTTTCATAACATGCTGAACCCTATAACTGGAATAGAATAGATTCTGTCTATGAGCAGAAAGACGTCGAGCAGGGCCGTTGCTTTTCACAATGTAACTATGTCATAAAATGCGGCCGTCAACTTGTACGGGACATACACTGTCGCATCGGGAAACAGCCATGAAACTACTAACGGCTTATTCCAAGGATAGGGTCCTGCGGCTCTGCTGGATTCTAGGAGCCAGCTCCGCAGGAGACAACTAACCTCGGCATTGACGCTGTGCAGCGCACTTAAAAGCGCACGTGTGCTTTTATGGCCGTGTTTTGCATTGCTGGGACTTCCGGTTGAGCTAGACTTACATTGAAGACTGCAGCGTTACGAGCTTATTCTGTGCGATCATTGCCCGATCATGGTCTTTTTCTAGTAAGCTGCCCGTGAAATCCCCCCCCCCGTCCTCTTCGGATCTGAGACCCCCTCATCTGTCCGGGTGTGGGGCCCGTGGTCCTGTCCAAGTGGAACCTCCGATAATGTCCGGGCGTGGGACCCCCGACTGGATTCTTCAGACCCGCCCAGGCGTGGGACCCCCGTGGATCCTGTCCTGTGACCCGTGCGGGTGAGGCCTTGGGTGCTGTACGGTTCAGGGGCCTCCGCGCCGGTTCTGTGCGGTTGTAAGACCTCCGATCCTGTGCGGGTGTGGAACCATAACCTGTCTAGATGTGCCACCTCCGTGTGAGACATCCTGTCATGTTCAAATGGTTCTGTCATATCCAGGGTATCATCTAACCTGTGTGTGGGTGTCCTGACCTGTCCCGTCTGCAAGGTCCAGGCGCAGCAGACGGTGTCCGTCAAACACAAGCTTGTCAGACTTTTTATAACAGTCGGGCTTTGAATAACAGTTTGACGATATAGAGACGCAAAATAATTATTATCAAAACTAGCAAAAGCGCTATTATTTTCGTGTCATATTTAATAATCACAATGAACCCTCGAATCATTTCAACTAGAATCTCGAATCAACACAATCGAATCATTTAAAAAAAGCGCCTTATAGCAAGCACTTCGTTGTTTGTTCAAAGACTTTTGCAGATTCTGTACTCGTCCAGAAACTCTTCTTCGCTGTACGTTTTTGACTCAAAGAATACCTGAAAGTAAATTAACGCAAAATCACAGAAGGGTTATGATAACGGTATATTTATGCGAAAAGCATGTACACGTCCTCGTGTCCAGGTATTTTTACACAATCGAACATTTTTCCAAGAGTGCGGTGAGGGCTAACGACCTGTAACCTAGGGATCTGAAGGTAAATGATTGTTCAAAACGTTATTTTCTTTTAATATTATCGGCACCTTTCATGCTGGCGTGTAGGTTTTCCCATTGCACTCTGAAGAACTTCGTTACTGTGTGATGTGTTACTCCTCCAACGTCGATAGACCCTTTTTCAGTCTGCTATAGAGAATAATTAATTATGGTGATACAATAACAAACAACTTGTAATATACAGTATTAGAAATCGAAAGTTATAGAAAAATTAAAAAATCCCTACGAAGTCCTTCCCCTAATAGTACGACTATAGTTGTCCCATCCTCGCAACATTCGGAGTTCACGGCCTCAAGAAAAACAAATCTTTTTTTGTGAACTCCAATAGTCTTTACAGCATTTACTCAATGAAGGGGACATGCCTCTTTTTAAATTGACACCGAATCACCAATTATACAGTCGATTTTTTATTTACGGGCCAAAGAAATATCATGGCACATTTTTATGTCCTTTTGTTTGACTGTTCCTTTCTTCCCCTTTCTTTCTGTTCCTTTGTGTTCTCTCTCTCTCTCTCTCTCTCTCTCTCTCTCTCTCTCTCTCTCTCTCTCTCTCTCTCTCTCTCTCTCTCTCTCTCTCTCTCTCTCTCTCTCTCTCTCTCTCTCTCTTTCTCTTTCTCTCTCTCTCTCTCTCTCTCTCTCTCTCTCTCTCTCTCTCTCTCTCTCTATCTCTCTCTCTCTTTCTATCCATGATTCACGAATTCTCTCATAGGGAGTTCAATAAATCCAGGTACAGATAGATGACTACAGAATGATGTCCACTCCTCAGAAGCTACTCGTATCAGTTGACTGGAACGCAAGCTGTGCCGTTTATCACGCAATTCAGCGTGTCTTTTGTGAGCATTGGGCCACAGCATTAAACTGTGATCTCAGTTAGTGTGATGAGGCACAGCCTATCATTCCAGGCAACTCATTCTGAAAAGTAAAACATCATTCTGTTGTCAACTGTACATACAAAGAATGAGCAGAGATTCGTCAATTTTAATGCCTTCAGGCTGTGCTAATTTGAAACGTGTTTTTGTGTGCAAATATTTGCCTATTCGAGCATGGGGCAAGTAGTTGAATGACCTCAGTGATGTCTTTTGTCAAAGTCTATGACAAACTTTATGTCAAGTCTATGACAGTCTGTTGTGAAATATTTATTGTGAATCATGGTCGTATTTAATTTCTAAACATGGGCAACTGAATTGGAGAACTGAATATATCACTGATATGTAAATCGTAAATAAAGATCAATATTTCTTTTCAATGTTATCTTGATTTTAATCCCATATTCAGGAGCTCAGAACCATGGCGCACTGCACAGGTTAGGTCGTGTCTGGCCTGGTCCAGCCATTCTTCTTAGATGTGATTTCAAATGTAAACATACATATTTAGAAGCTTCCGTTTGGCGTGACTTTCTGGTTCTTCATTTTCCGCACATGCATGTTGTTTCATTTTTCACACCTTTGCAATTGGTGACCTGACATTCCTGCTACCTCCTACTCAGTGTGTAAGCATCACAAACGCTCGCCTTACCAATTTTAAGCATCTTCTATCATATCTCAACTCTTGTGAAACATTCTACTTAGCCTTTTCTATTTCCTGGTTAAATCACCGTTGAATCGTACGTACGACATACCTCCCTGGAATTCAGTGGACCTTTCATAAAGGGTTCCTCGCAAGGTCTGGTAGTCATGAGATGTCTCATGGAGCTAAATTCCACCGGTCACGTGATCTCTGTTTGGGGGCCCGGTGACCAGCCGACTGGCCGTGACCGGCTGACCCCGGTCACCCGGTGACCCCTGAGACGGCACTGTGTTCAGACCAGACTATACACATCGGATCGGGCGCAGCCTCAGCCGAGCGCAGACGGAGCGGGATGGCCGTGACGTGTTATTTGTGTTTATTTCTAGCTATTTACCAGCACTTTAAGGAAGCAGTTTACGATATAGTAGTTACGTAGTTCACTGCAGTTGCAAATTATTGTGGTACCCGGCATAAGAGATGCGTTATTTTGCAGTGAGCACCGGCTTTCATATAGTTCTATAGTGCATCGTTTTATGCAATTGTCTGCAAACATATTTTTTTAATGCCAGCTTCATTTGAAATGGCTTTCACCGGACCTTTCAGTTTTCTTTACGTTGTAGAGGCCGGGGGGAGATGAGCCGTCTTGTCGTTTCGCCCCTAATTGAGCTAAGGATTTGCGAGTGACGAGCGTTTGTGCCATTACAAGACACAGCGACTACATATGTATATGTAGTGTCCAATTTTCAGGTGTCAGGTCAACCGATGCCCTATGAGATCAGTTCAAATGGCCCGGGGGAGGGACGGATTACAGTACTACAGTAGTCTTCCACTTGGCATGAAGCACATCTGCTAATGTATGAACGGGAAATCTAGCTTATACCTTGCACCTCTAAATAGTTCAGACTACAGCTGTCTGCACTCGGTACTTACACTCTGTTTGAACAGCAAACTTCCCTTCTGGAAAGGGTTAATAACAGAAATGCCTTCGTGTGCACAGATAGGTGCACACGAACACGCACAGATCGTGTGCACACCTAGACGCACTGTGGTCTAGTTTAGATGAACTTTAAGGAGTCATTGGTTTATTCTGGTGCAATCATGAGACTGTGTCGCCTGAGGACATTCGAATATTATGCTTTACAGTCTTCTCAACTATATAGTTGAGAAGACTGTATATCTTTTTTATAACTTCCCAAATAAGTTAGTTAAAGGTAGTGTGCCACCTTTGAAAGATTTCCCATTTTATTTTTCCTAGGATAAGAAGCTTCTGTTTTTACCTAATATCGCAAAAAAAAATCAAAAATGGGCCTGGAATAGTGCCTTTTTCGCCTAAAAGTTTTTCGGTTTTTAGATATGTATAACAACCGTAGTGGGCTCACCTGCAAACAGGCGTCGGGCAACAATCGTGAATGCGGCGCACTTGTGACAATAAGCAAAGGTCATTATAGTGTTACGACCATACGACGTACGGGAATGAGTTATCAGCTGTCTAATCGTAGACAACACAATGTCGAGCCTTAAACTGTAAGCCCGTATTGGTATTGTTTCTTTTATTT